CCTTTAAATCGCACTTTGAATCTGAATGCATGTATTTTGACAAAATATCTAGTCAAATATTATGTGCTGTCATCATGACAAAGATAAAATAGATAAGTTATTAGAAAAGAGTTATTAAAGCTATTATGTTCAGAAATATTCTTTCCATTAAACAGAAACTGGGGGGGAAAGGGTTGCTAATATTCAGGAGGGCTAATAATTCAGACTTCAACTGCATACAAACAGTTATTTTCCACCCTGCAAAGGAAAGAGAAATAAATACAATAGAATAAAAATATGAAACAAACTGTGCTTTAAAGAAACACTTTAGCTACAAAAGTCCTTCAGTCAAGATTAGTGAGGCATGTTCTCCTGTTGTTGTTTGATTAATAATCATAAAAACAGGTGGCAGAAGGATTATAGCGCGCTGTCTCTTTAATAGTTTCTCTTTCGCGTCTCTTTTGATTCTCAACTCGTTTGTTTATTACACAAATGATGCTTGATATGAATAATCACTAAACACCGCGTTTTGACACCTATTTGACTATTAAAGCGCTCACTGTAAGATGACTTTAGATGTGTGCGCTGACTGCGCTCTGCTCGTCTCAGTGTGCGAGTGAGACCGAACTGACTGCATGCTTCAATTCTGTGTGTGCGCGGCACACAGAATCATGCGGTCTTTCGCGCTTTTTTTTCCGAAGGAAAAATCGAAATCGGATTTTCAATTAATTGCACAGCCCTACTACATCCGCCATTTCGTCACGTGACCTACCTGCGTCAGTTGCGTCGATTGACTCCCATTCTTGAATTCGCTCGCGGGGCATCATGTAATAGCGCAGCATGCATGGGATGCGCACTTCAGAGTCTCGCCGGATTTAGTAAGTCACCCGGGTACTTCTCGCACACTGATTTTTAAATTCTATGAATTCGGACACACTACTCGGCTCACATACTGATTTTAGCGTACTAAATAGTATGGAAGTTTGAGGTTTCGGGCGTAGCCACTGTCATATTTCCTAGCCCCTCTGAAAAGGCTCTGATTGGTCAGCTAACATAATGTGCTGTGATCATCTCCACATCAGCAGGAAAAGCAGCACACTTGTAATAGCACAAGCCTTTGAGCTGTGTGAACACTGTCAGTCAGAGTAGCTGTTACCGTATCAGCCAGAAGATGAAGAGGACACAGCTGAACCTCAAGCCTGCTCTCTAAAATAACATCTGAATGTGAGTAAAATGAAACGTACACATATCTCTTGTGAGTTTATTATCTGAGATGTAGAACGCAGGAGAAGTGTCCGCATAGAGAGACACTGCAGGATAAATCTGAATTTATTGTTAAGCCTGTTTCACACCTCAGGCGAGAGCAGAGCGTGCTTTATTCGGCTTCTGTGTTAAAGGGCCATGAAACCCCCTCGTTTCAGCAGGGTGTTTTCACACCTCTACTTTGGAAAAAGTCAGAAAAGTGGGCGTGTCCAGCTCTGTTTAGGGGGGAGTGTCGGAGGAACTAAAGTGGGAGGGTGTGGGCGTGTCTTATTTGGGCACACGTGAGTTTCAGAGTCAAAATACACAGACAGGAGAAAGTGATGGTGTTTAACCTACATGGACATCTGTAGTCGAATTATTTGCCAAATTATTAAATGGTGGACTTTAACTGCAGTTTGGCTCTTTCATTCAGGGAATTCATTCATGCCCCTCTCGACAAACGAGATATTTGATTCGAGGATCTGCTCTAAGCGTGTATTTTTCATGCAATGTTTGATACCGCACGGCGAATGAGAGAAAAAAACTCTGCATTTCCTGGAAACTTAGATGCACACGGCAGGTAGCGTCAGAAAGCCGCGTGTGTTATTCCGGTCACTAAATGCGGTGAAAATCCTACACGAGGTTAAAGTTTGGTTGTGGTGCTAACATGTTTACACTCGGTGCAATAGTTAACTTAGTTCGATACGAACAAACTGAATAAACAAAGAGCACTGGTCGCCCACTTACCAAATCTGTAGAGACAGGACAATCACCAGCAACTAGAGCCGCGTCTTTATTAAGAGGAGACTACAAGCGAATCCAGATCTCAGCGTTTGCAGATGAGAACAGCTCTCAGGTAAACAATAATCCTCCTTAGACACGTGAGTTATTGTTGTCGAGCGTCGCGTACACTGTTAATCCACACGTGACTCCAGCTGCGCTCTCACAGAGAGAAAATGAAAACAAAACTTCACTGCAGCAAACTATAAAAGCAACACTTCACGCTTGTTTTGCCAACACAACGTGGCGTCTCTGTCGTCTAAACACTGTGCCAGTAATGAATATTAATGAAGTTGCACAATAGAGCGCGCTGATTGGTTTGAACCAAGCCTTAATCATGCATTAATGCAGCACACTGTAAGACGTAATAAGACACACTCTGGCACAGACGTCCAGTCTGCACGCTGGAATACACGCTATTATGTCATGACCGTGACGCAGCTTCAAAAATTCGTTTCAAACCGGAAGTACAAATTTGCTTGAAATAACGCAAAAACAACCAATTTACACTTTTTAGTGAAATATAGGTGTCCTAATAGTGTTTTTAGCAGTGTGGGACACATATACGACTGTCAACAGCTCAACACATGTGTTTTGGTGTTTCGTAACCCTTTAACAGATTAACGCATGCAGAAGCAGAGTGAAGCCTGATTTATACTTCTGCGTCAGGTGACCGGCGTGACCCACGGCGCATGCAACACGCGTAGCTGTGCATTTATAATTCTGCGCGCTGTCTCTGTTGGTCTGCATTAACACTTCCGAAACGCTAGTAGGCAGTGAGGTGTTAATGTGTCTCTGTGTCGAGTTTCTTCGCTGCTGTTTTGCTTTTCCTGAACGCTTCCTGAATGTACAAACGGCTCAAACACGCTCATTTTAAGGCAGGAACCGGCGGACGTGCAACAACTTTAACTATGAGGTAAACACAAAACAAAACTTTCTATCCGGAGCTCCTTCACGGGACTCCACACTTGTAAACAATCGCTCAATCGGGCTCGCGCGACTCTCGGTCCCGCTCGTCAGCGCTAACAAGCCAACCAATCACAGAGTTTGCGATACGCGTCGCTGCAACGTTACATTTTTTGAGAGGTGCACGTCAGCGACACCGACGGCCACGTGTAGGAAGGAAGATTAGACGCGCTGACCAAAGACGTCTACTTTTGCCAATTACAATTTCAGATGCATTCACATCCACGCGTTTTGTGAGAATAAAAGCCTGTGAATATTTTTCCAGACACATTTAGCTGCTAGATGTTAGTCAGATCATGTTTCTATCTTCCTTCATAATGCCAAGTGTGGAAATAATTATCGATAAAATGCTCATAATAACCGCTGCTTGTTTACCTTCAAGCTCTGACGCGTGTGCATGTGATATGTTTATATATACATGTATGTATGTATGTATATATATATATACATATGTATGTATATATATATATATATATATATATATATACATATATATATATATATATATATATATATATATATGTAGGAGACTATACTTATGCGCAGAAGAAAAGTGATAGACTCTTAGAATATTCTGATATTTATTTGGGGAAATATCACTGATGCATACGCATTTCCTCTGTAACTGCTGTGTTTGTGTTATTTGTTTATTTTTTATTGCTTTATGTATTAATATTTTCATGCATCTCACTCTGAACCATTTTTTCAATGTAAATAAATCCATGGTGAAGCAGTGGCGCAGTAGGTAGTGCTGCCGCTTTACAGCAAGAAGGTCGATGGGTCGGCTCGGCTCAGTTGCGGTTTCTGTGTGGAGTTTGCATGTTCTCCCTGCGTTCAAATGGGTTTTCTCCGGGTGCTCCGGTTTCCCCCACAGTCCACAGACATGCGGTACAGGTGAATTGGGTAAGCCAAATTGTATGAGTGTGTGCGTGTGTGGATGTTTCCCATGCATCAGCTGTGTAAAAATATACTGGATAAGTTGGCGGTTCATTCCGCTTTGGCGACCCCGGATTAATAAGCCGACAAGAAAATGAATGAATGAATTAATAAATGCATTTAATAATGCGAAGGATGCAAATTGTTTTGTTTGTTAATATGCAGAAGTGGCCTTTTTATTATTAATCTTATTAATGCAAAGAGTTGACAAGTAAACAATGTTTGTATCCAATACACAAAATATCAATTACATACCTTGTCAATGAAAGAAAGGTATAAAGAGAAAGATACAGTGGTTAGCACTGTGGCCTCACTGCAAGAAGGTCGCTGGTTTGAGTCCCGGCAGGTGCAGTTGACATTTCTGTGTGGAGTTTGCATGTTCTCCCTGTGTTGGCGTGCCAGTGTTGGGTTGCAGCTGTGTAAAACATGCTGGATAAGTTGCCGGTTCATTCCACTGTGGTGACAGCTGATGTAAAAAGGGACTAAGCTGAAGGAAAACGATAGAATGATTATGAACTTGAGGATCAATTTAAGAGTCGATTACAGTATACACAGTTGTAGTCAGAATTATTCGCCCCCCTTTGGATTTTTTTTCTTTTTAAAATATTTCCCAAATAATGTTTAACAGAGCAAAGAAATGTTCACAGTGTGTCTGATAATATTTTTTCTTCTGGAGAAAGTCTGATTTGTTTTATTTCGGCTGGAATAAAGGCAGTATTTAATTTTTGAAGGTCAATATTAGTAGCCCCTTTAAGCTATATATTTTTTCGATCGTCTACAAAACAAACCACTGTTATACAGTGACTTGCCTAATTACCCTAATTAACCTAGTGAAGCCTTTAAATGTCTCTTTAAGCTGTATAGAAGTGTCTTGAAGAATATCTAGTCTAATATTATTTACTGTCATCATGACAAAGATAAAATAAATCAGCTATTAGAGATGAGTTATTAATATAAAACTATTATGATTAGAAATGTGCTGAAATAAATCTGCTCTCCATTAAACAGAAATTTCAGATAATGAAATTGTATTTAAATAATAACTTAATTATTTACAAATAAATGGAAAAAAATGAAAGTCCTCTGCTGTATTTGTGATATTGATTTATTTTCTTAATCTTTAAAATTGCTTTATATGTCTTTACATTATCATTTAACTTGCTCTGATTCATGTGTTCAGTGTAAACACATCAGTTTATTAATGTGAACGATGCAACTTCGAAATGTTTTGTTTGTAAATATGCAGAAGTGGCCTTTGAACCCTTTGTTGTTTGCGGGTGACGTCAGAGATAGAGAGAGAGGGAGAGAGAGAGAGAGACGCGTGTGTGAGTGAGTGATTCTGCTGCACAGACAGACAAAGGCGGCGGACCGGAGGAACCGACAGAAAGCGCTCTAAGAGTCTCCAGACTTCCACGCGTGAAAACCCGCAGAAAACCATGAGCAGATCCCGGGTGCGAGCGGTGCCGAGGCGGGACGAGTGATCCGAGCCGCGCTGGAGCTCCAGTTTGACCGCGAATGCTTTAAAAGCGACTCTTTTTCTCCAACGCCCCCCAAAAACAGTTAGCAGCTAGCGGTTAGCCGTCCCCTCCACCAGCCTCATCCTCCAGAAAACTGCGGAAAACAGCAGCCGGCGGCGCGGGAGCACACACGGTGAGCCTTCCGTTATTGTGTTAAACGCATGTCCGTGTGCCGTGTGAGTTTCTCCCTCACCGGGGTTTGTACCGGCCGGGATCGCCCGCGTGGTGTTCGGCTCACATCCACAAACAAAGGCGACAATGTGACTGATCATCTCCGGTTAGCGGCGCGGCTAACAACACCGCGCTTTCACCTCCGACATCTCTCTTTAAACTCACCGAATAACACATTTAATGTCTCGGATGCGTCACACGCACTTCTGCCGTGTGCTCAGCGCGATAGCAGCCGCATGTCATGCGTTATAACCGCGTTATTAAACAAAAACACGCGCGGTGCTAAAGCTGAGCGCAAACAATAAAGACAAAAGGCAGCGCTGGAAAACAACAAGAGCGCCCGCTCCGGTCACTCAGCAGCGTGTCTTAAACTCTTCCGAGTGTTTACTGATGAACTAAATCACCTCTCATTGTGTTTAAATATGCCTTTTACTTTAGAAAGCACAGTCTGCTGGGTGTCTGATGCGCACGCGGGGTCGACTATGCCGAGTCCCCTGTTTCACCCTGACATCATGGAGCACGAGAGCGGGCAGAGCGGCGGCGGCGCCCGGGAGATGGAGCAGGATCCCCGGGATGAGGAGCACCAGGAGGCGCTGCGCTTCGCCCTGGACCAGCTGTCCCGCATGGCGCTGGAGAAGGTGGAGTGTCTGGACGGGAGCTCGGCTGGGGAGAGCTGTAACGGAGGAGGGGGTTTCGTGGACCTGCAGATGATGGAGCACAGCAGCGGCTCGCGGGAGTCACCCGGCTCATGCTCGCCCTCTCCTGAGTACTACGGCTCTGGGGGTGGAGGTGGTGGTGGAGGATATCACATGGCCGGGCCGCACTCCTCCATCCTCGGGGAACAAAGCTCGGTGCTCCGCAAGAGAAGTGTCAACATGACCGAGTGCGTGCCCGTGCCCTCCTCTGAGCATGTGGCGGAGATCGTCGGTAGACAAGGTACTGACTTAAATAGTGACAACAATTGATTGTAAACAATCTGTACATGTTATGAACTAATAAATGCAATGCAGGGTTCAGAATCTCATTCAGCATACTTCATTTGAACAATAGGAAAGCAGCTCAGGGAGTTATTTGCATGGTAAAAATGGGAGATTATAGACTTAAATGCAATGCATTTGAACAGTTAAAGCTACAGTGGTGTATTGGTTAGTTGCTTTGGAAATATGAATGTTTACCTAAATGAGATCATGCATAGTAAATGCATTGTTTTTGAATAATTGACCATTTTAACTGATAGCAATGCCTTAGATTAGTCAGGGCTGAAGTAAATGCAATGCAATGCATTTCATTTATTTTCACATACAATATAAATATTCATATTTGCATGCAAATAAATACTTGAGTGCATTTGAGCATGAAAAGAACGTTGTAGGTAGTTATTTGCATGCATATTTTAAGATTATAAAACAATTAATGCAATGCATTTGAACAATAAAAGCACTATAAGTTTATCAAATGTGTCCATCATGAATGGTGAATGCATTTTTATCAACAGTTCATCACTTAAGTGTAATTGGATGGAGCTTTGGAATAATAATTCAGTGTGCATCAAGAACTAAAAAAATGCAATGCATTACATTTGTTTTCATCTAAGGCATAACAAAAAATCACATCTGCAAGAAAAAAAAACATCAAAAATCATTAAACGAACAATAAAAACACACACACACACACGTCAGGGTTTTCCACAATGCCAGATCATGAATAGCGAATGCATCGCATTTGAATACGAGGAAATCTTCACTTGAAGTAATATTGCTGTGTGAGATTGCATGCAAACACTGTGATTTGAATATTTTCTTCGACGCTGCGCATTCAGCTATTGTTTTGGTGCTGTCTGGCGTTTTTCTCTGAGTGCTGTGTGTGAATGCATAGATGGAGGGATGGATGTTGTTGTGTGGGTGGGTGGAGGAGGGGTCTAGTCTGGGTTGGTTTGGTGTAGTTAGGGAGGGGGGGTATGGACGTGTCTCGCGCTCTAAACCAGACAAAAGAGCCTCGTGTGGATCTCTGCGTCTGCCCTGTCCTCCACACGCCCATCATCTCCCCGTCTGTCTGCCGCGCATCGATCCGCGCTCGGCCGCAGGTCATGTGAGGATATGCCGCGGAGTTACGCAGGATTATAGGCCGCTTCTGCTCACTGCGGCTGCGCTGCTCGCTGTCCGGCGCGGGCATCGGTGACATGCTGATATGCGTTGCTTTCTGATCTGCGTTTGTGTTCAATAATCGTGATTTGTGCGGTTTGACTCGCAGCGGCATTGTTCTCTTTGTTTGAAACGCCATGCGCTCAGACTCCCGCGATGACATCACACAGCACGCACGCCATTGGCTGAGCGCAGGAAGCCGAGCGCATTTAAAGGAACAGTGCGCCTCTGTCTGCTTATTGTAGAAGGGATACAGCTGCGGCTGGAAGTTAAATTACCCATTATATTTTATTAAAGTCTAACTCAACCCATACAGTGATATAACTTATTACTTATAAAGATAGCAATTTATTGCATTTGATTAACATCTGCCCACACTAAACCTAAACCCAACCTCCGTATTGTAAAACAGTGATTATACAAAGTATTTATTTATTATTATGTGGTTGTAATATTGATGTATGAATATCATTTCATGTTCTCCATAATATGCTCATCACTATTTTAAATACAACAATAATAATAATAACAACAGTTTGTTATTGTTGTTATTTATGTATTTATTGTTGATTTTATTATTAAATTATTTAACTTATTTTCCTTTTTATTATTATTTTTCAAACATTTGCACTTCAGTTCACAGACACAGTTCAGTTCTGTGTTAGATAAATACATTTAAAAAACATGGCTCTCAAATAAAATTACCTCGCAGGCTAAAATAGTTTGTCATTTTAATAATTCGTGAGTTTTAATCTTGTTTAAAGGGATATTTCACCCCTAAATGTCTTAAACCTGATTTTCTTGAAGATATTTTGAAGAATGCTGGTTGCTTCCATAGTAGGAAGCGTTACTGTGGAAGTCAGTGGGTGCCAGATACCAGCATTATTGCAAAATATCATTGTTTGTTCAAAATAAGAAAGAAATTTTGTCTTTTTAAATAGTGAGCCATGTAATCTCTCAAGGATAAGTGCAAAAAAAACAACAAATTTTTGCATGATTATATAAATTACTTGACAAAATCATGCAACTGCTTGTAAATTTAACGTCAGCTATTTTTTATTTTTTTTGTAAATTAACTTTTTAGTGCTGGTTAATTAATCGCATCTAAAATAAGTATGCATTTCTACTGTGTATGTATATATTTATATCTGTGTATGTATGTGTATATATATATATATATATGTGTGTATCTGTGTGTGTATGTGTGTATATATATATATATATATATATATATATATATATATATATATAT